TCGCTTATTTGCACCGCGGCGTGATATTTGCACCGCGGCGATTAGCGAGATATTCGCCTGTGTGAACAACGACACAATTAGCTCACTAAATCGCGCTCCAAATAGCGCGCTCCTAAGACCACTTCCGACTGGGCTAATTTGGAATCAGCTCGCTTATTTGCACCGCGGCGTGATATTTGCACCGCGGCGATTAGCGAGATATTCGCCTGTGTGAACAACGACACAATTAGCTCACTATTATCTCCGCTATTAGCGGGCTGAGCAGCGCGGTTTTTTCTTGTGTGTGAACGCACCTATAGTTCAATCGCTTTTTCATTTAAACGCTGCATTTCCATGTCCCTCTCACCAATAGTTGCCATGATTACTAGAATATACTGTGTAGCGTAGCATTCTGAAACAAGTTTTCGCATCATGTGCGTGCCTGCTCCCGTGCGTGCATGCGTGCACACTTCTCCTGGCCGCATAGTTCCATTGTGTTTTCATTTAAATACTGCATTTCCATGTGTTTCTCGCACGATTGGTTGCCATGATTACTGGAATACTGTGTAGCGTAGCCTTCTGGAACAAGTTTTCACATTACGTGCGTGCCTGCTTGCGCGCATGTAAAGGTATGTTTACGTGCGTGCGTGCGTGCACACTTCTACTGGCCGTATAGTTTCATTGTGTTTTCATTTAAATACTGCATTTCCATGTGTCTCTCGCACGATTCGTTGCCATGATTACTGGAATACTGTGTAGCGTAGGCTTCTGGAACAAGTTTTCACATTACGTGCGTGCCTGCTCGCGCGCATGTAAAGGTATGTTTACGTGCGTGCGTGTACACTTCTACTGGCCGTATAGTTCCATTGTGTTTTCATTTAAATTCTGCATTTCCATGTGCTCCATGGTTGCCATGATTACTGGATTACTGCGATACTGCGTAGCTAGCATAACTTTCTGGAACGAGTTTTCGCATTATGTGCATGCCTGCTCGCTCACGCGCGTACAAGTATGTTTATGTGCATACGTTAATTCTTATACACACATATAGGTATCTATTTGTTTACGTGCGTGCTTATGCACGTATAGGTATCTGTTTTTGTGCATGCAAGTGCGCTCGTTCTGCGTAATATTTGAATATATGGTGTTGGTTGGTACACATAATGACATATATAACCAGAAATCAAAAAATCAAACGTAATTTGTTGTCCTGCAGTCTCTATCTTCTCCATCTGCCGTTGGTGATTTGGTGCCTCTAGTATGGCTGCAAGATAAATACAGACAGTAAAAAACATCTGCAGTAAACAAATGCGATGTAGGCGAAATACAAATAACGGAAGACCCAGTATATTTAAATATATTTGGGTAAATATGAAATAGTAACATGGTAATAAATCAATGTGCGAATAAATGTGTGCACGCATGTAACGCATTAATTCTTACCCTCTGCTATCCTGTTGTTAAACATTCTCCACGCATTCACATTGCATTCAACGTTTTACCATTTAAAGGATTTGGGACATACATATTGGCATCTTGGGAGAAGCTATTCAGATATCAGTGCATACCATTGTCTTTTCCCAGACATCCACTTTCGCATATTCTAAGTCCACTCGAGGCGATGTCGTGCCACTGATCTCTACTATACTAACTTACCGTTACTATACGTTAGTATAGTAGAGATCAGTGATGAGGTGCCACTAACTGCAAGCTA